GCAGAGAGTCTCCCCCTTCGGGGTCTTCTTGTGTGGGTTGGAGGGGGGCAGAAATTCTGATTTGGGGTCTGCTTCGGCCTCCTGGTGGGGGGCTTTGGGCGAAGGCTGGAGGGAAGAGATGCTTGTGGCGAAAAACCGGAGGGCCTCATTCCAGTGGGACTGCATCATGGCCTGGAACTGGCTGACCATCTCAGCCCGCTGAGCCTCCAGGCGTTGGTACCTGGCCTTGCACTCCACCAGGTCTCCCCTCTGCTTGGAAAGCCTATGCTCGTAGTCCTCATTGAGGTGCTTCTGCTGAGCCTCCAATTTGAACGGAGCTGTTTTGCCCACTCTTTCTCTTGGTGGCTCCAACAACTGTTGGGGCCCTAAGGAGCCTGGGCAGGCAGGCAAGGAGTGGCTGGGAGGGGCGAGGAGAGACTGCTGACGCAACCCTCGACGTGAATGACATCGAGTTGGCCATGCCCACCCAGCCACATGACCACCTAGCCACGCCCACCCAGCCGGTGGTTAGGCAGATCATATTAGTGGTCCGCGGGATTTAAAATTGTGGATTTAGTGGTCCCGGGTGTGTGTGTGTGTGTGTGCTGCTGCTGCTGCTGTAGAATAAGCCTCCAGAAAGTGGACCAAGCTAATTCCTCTTACACCAATATTTTCACGCTACTGAAGCTATAAGTTATATGTTGCCCACCTTTGCTTGCAGATGGAAGAATGCCATTCCCTATAAAGCATGGATCTAGTTCGGATGCCACCATGCTGAAGGTAAGAATCTTTTAATTGGCGGTGGTCTCCATTTCACTGGGCCTCACAAAATTCCCACAACACCACGACGTCCATGAGACTGTAGAGATTCCCTTGGTTTTTTGTTCAGCCGCCCTGAGTCCCTTCGGGGAATAGGGCGGCCTACAAATCGAATAAATACCAAATACTTATATCCTTTTTCTCTTTAGGCATCGGCCGACATCTGCCGGCAATTCACCGAACGTGAGCAAGGGGAGGTCCGTTTTTCGGCGGTGGCCCTGTGCAAGGCAGCTTGAAATTTGGTAACCAACATAACGTCCTCAGCCTCTCACCGGATGTAGTCCCAGCCGTTAGGGCTTTAGCGCACTTATGTTTAAAACGTTGAAAAGAAAAGAAAGTACACCAACACAGTCAAAAGCCAAAACCGGCTGTTCTTGGTTTTGAATTTAAGGTGTAACGCTATTTTGTTTCCCCCTTCCTGACCGCAAGCTTCGGTGACGCCTGTCCTAGAGCTGAAATTCACGCAAAAGCGTCAGACGTTGGAAACCGTCGGTGTTTGTAAATGCTTCCCACGCTTTTGTGAGTCCCGAGTTTCTTTCGAGCGGTTGTGACTTCTCGTCCGTCACAAGAATAAATTCCTCCTTGCTAGTCCGGAAAACTCTCTCTTGGTATTGTCTGCTAAAACTCCGATGGTGTAGGCCGCGTTGATTATAACCCGAGGTTTTGGCCCAGTTTGCAGTTCATGGAGTGTTGTTGTGGTGAAGAAAAATGCGTAGGCAGGAAGAAGGTTAATGGGAAGGCACCCCGAATAGCCCGTGGGAGCTTCCTTTTATTGTCAAACACTGTCCCCGTGACAGAAGCTGATTCATTGATCAAAGTACACTTGTAATGATTGGCTAGACAAAGCTCATGGTTATGTTATCAATGTGGACAGTTAATGGACAGCTCATGGTTTCCTGCTCCAAGCGTTGTGATGTGCCTATGTGCCAAATCTCATGTCTCACACTTATTAAGGAAGGGTCATTGTGCTGACGTTTGCCAGCTACTGAGAAAGTTAACTATCTCCACAATGGACCACCAGCATGTTAACTTCACCAATTAACATGCTGGTGCTCCATTGGACTGCAAACTTAATTTCACCAATCGGTGGTGAAATTTTAAAAAAAATCCCTACCGGTTCAGTGGGCGTGGCTTGGTGGTCATGTGACCCGGTGGGTGTGGCTTGGTAGTCATGTGACCGGGTGGGCGTGCACAACTTATTTATTTAGTTAGTTTGTGTGCCGCCCACTCTTGGAAGACTCAGAGCGGCTTACAGATAAAAAAGGGAAGGGGGAACATAAAGAATTTAAAAAATAAAACATTAAAAATGCCACAACATTCATAACTTAGGATGGGGCTGGATAAATCAACAGCCCCAGGCCTGGCGGAACAGCCAGGTCTTGGTTGCTTTGCGGAAGGCCGGAAGGGTAGAAAGGGTCCGGATCTCAACGGGGAGATTGTTCCAGAGGGCAGGAACAGCTACATACATTAAGTCAGTGTTTCTCAACCTTGGCAACTTGAAGATGTCCGGACTTCAACTCCCAGAATTCCCCAGCCAGCGAA